CGTAGTAAGCGCAAACCCACATCGCCTCAAGCTAATAAATTTGCTTGTGTTTAGAAACGCCGTAGGCAGTTGCGAAAACAATGCAGAGGAAATATTTATATTAAACACAAAATATTAATAATAATATCGCTTTGTTGTTGATGAATGAATGAAATGTAAATTAATTGGTATTTACATTAATATATTTAGTACAACTATCTTTAACGCCAACAAAATGCTATTTCATATATTTATTCATAGCTAACGACTTTTGACTAAATAACCAATTCATGCAACTTTAATATAAAATTAAATTTAATTTGAAATCTCAACTTTAGTATCTTACTAACTAAATATGCATACGTTTGTGTGTCATCCCTTCGATTCCGGCTACTTTTAGCTGTTGAATATGTCGTATTTGCTTTTTCCGGCTCAAATTTAATGTCAGCTGTGCGATATTTGATTTGTCAACTATTTGCACACACCCACACCCCCGCATATCTGTATGACATTGAACAAATTGTAAAAGTTTTTGTGTCAGGAAGTAAAAGTTTGTTGGATGACTTTTTATTTGGGCAATTTGCCCACATCAATCAGCCAGCAACATATCGCTCTTTTATATCTTTTCAGTCTTTTACATATGTATTTATAGTATAACAGTGCTTGAGGAAGCTAAAAAATTTATATTTGTATAATATGACAGAAAATGCGCAAATTGAAGTTGGCTAAGTCGGATTTTTTGGACAGTGCCAAATTGACTGTGATTTAATTTTAATTTGATTTCAACTAAAACTTCTACCCAATTTGTGCTGCATGCAAGCGGATGCAACGAATTGCAAATGTAGTAGCCACAGCTGGCAGAAACGCAGTTCGTGTCACTTCGTTGATTGTGTTCAGTGAAGTTTTTTATAATTTTTTTTTTATTATTTTGTATTGGTAGAACAAAATTTTTACAATAAGACTAAGTACTATTAAAGCATAAAAGCGGTTTTGATTTTATTGCACAATTGTCGGTGGAGAAGGAAAATTTTGATCTTTCATAAGCTGTATTGTGTTTATGAAATGTTCGATATTTAATAAAATTTAAGAACAGTTTGACTTCGCTAGATGCCAAAGGAGAAGCAACGCGGGCTTACAATAAAAGTGGTTTACACTATTGAGAAATATCTCAATACACGCTGATGGTGCACCAACGCAAAGAGCCACGAATGTGACCGAATTTAAAGCTAAAAAGGCAATGAATAGCATACTCTAACCACCACTAACCAATTTAAGACATTTGGCTCCGTGTGTTTTTTTTTTGTTCCCCAAACTGAAATTGCCGCACCGGCACATGGGTTCCCTTTCAGTCGATTGAAGAGATAAAACAAAATTCGCTGAAGGAGTAGAAGGCCATCTCAAACGCTTCTAATGAAAATGTTTCGAGGGCTGGAAAAATGGTTTGTATTATTCAGGTGGGGATTACTTTAAAAGTGACAAAATAAATATTAATTAATATTCAAATATGCTCGTTTTATATACAATTTCCGGGTACATTTTTGCCACAATCTATATTCACAATTTACATCCAAATATATCAAATTATATGCCATATAAATTAAAGAAAGTTTCCAAATAATATTCAAACACCTAAATTAATAATCTTGAGAGTTATTCATAAATAATAATAAAGAAAATAGTAAACTCGAGTTTGTGCTACAAAACGAGCTATATTTAACCTTGAACAGTCCATTGTTTAAAAAAAAAAAAAAAACTTGTATAAACTCAAGGATGCTTAAGAATCTAAACGATTAAATTTAACAATTATTCGTAAGTAGTAGACCTTAAAACTGCAATTGTGATATAACGAGAAGTTGGACAGCCCACCGATTTTTAAGATGCATTTTTATATAAGAGAGAAATTAAGCTATGGATTAATGAAAAACTTAAAATAGTATAATTCGTAGATATATACAGGCTTGCATCAAAAAATCATAAACTTGAGTTTAAGGGCACGCTTAGCCCACTCCAAATTCATGCACAGAGGCTGATTCTAAATTAGCTCAATTTACTTTAAAATCACATTTTTTACTCCAAAGTCACATAATGGTGCTAACTACACACGAAACAACTATATCATTACATTCGGTTAAAATAGTTTTCTTAATCGAGTCAATTAACAGTGATACTATTTAAATTCAGATTTAAAATCAATTTTTTTTATACTTACTTTGAACATTTTAATGCCATTATTTAAAATAAATTGAAAATATACATTCTCATTATAAAAATATTGTAGGGTTGCATTGACAATATGAGTCAATTTATTTTATATGAAATTTTATTGTACAATACAATTTAATACACAAAGACTTTTTTCTTAA